TCTCTCTCTCTCTCTCTCCCCAGTGCCACTGTTTTTTAGACATTTGACCAGACTATAGCACAAGCCTGCATTTGTTTGTATATTTTTGACAGTTTGCAGTATGTGTACATTCAGAGGTGATCATTTTAAATGAATGAAGGGAAAATTAAAAGCTAAACTATGATGATGATGATGATGATGTTAAAATAAAATAATATATTCAACAAATGAACAAGTGTGTGGTTGTTTTGGGTCGGCCTCTGTTTGTCACAGCCATTAGAATTTAACAGGTTTAACAATACGAACAAAGAACAAGTGTCATAGCAAGGCAGATCCTGGGTGGCAGGTAGAGAGAGCGTCTGTAGAGTACCGAGCTCTCATCATTTGGACAAACAAAGGAGTGAGGAGGCTGATATTGTTATCTCAGGCCTTCCAAAAGTGTGTGTGTGGAAATAAAGTCTTTGAAGAATAGTAAAGCAAAGAGCTTCCATCCTTTCACAACATCAAAGCCTGGATAGAACCGTCTTAAAAATGTTCCTCCACTCCTCCTCTCACTGCTTACTTTGATTTGTACCTTTTCAATGCCCTAGTTCTCCAGTTGTCCTCAACAGTCCTTCCCTTCCTCCTCTTCCTCTAGCCACTCTCTTGGCTGAAAGACTTTTCATTTGATGGCAGCAGACAGCAGGGAAGCTGCGTTCCCTATTTCAGGACGGTGACAGTGGTAGGTGGGTGATGATGCTGGGGAGGGATGTTTTGTGCCCCCCCCCCCAGAAACAACAATGGGGGAGATGAGAGAAAAACAGCAGAGAACAGAGTGGTCACTTCTGGTGACCTGTAAATGCCAGTGGGGATTTACTACTGCAGAAAAATGAAATATGCTGTCTGGCAGTGCTGGTGCTGATATACAGAAAGATGAGGCGCAGCATGTATTTGGAACTGCCAAATTCAGCCTGAGATACATGAGAAAAGTGCATTTTTTCCTTTTAACTTTTATCGTTTCGTCATAATATTTACTGACATTCACTTTCAAGATGCAATTCAAGCAGGTGTGTGTGTGTGTGCGTCTACTAATTCTATGACCATTTACTTACTTAGACCCTGGATGCATGTATGTGTGTTTAAACATGCAGAGAACTGAAGACTTTCTGAGCTTACATCATATGTGGTGCTACTATATGTTCAAAAAGTGTGCAAGATTCAAGATTACCCTGTGGACACAATCTGCAGCTCATGAGAGGAAATGAGAAGCAGAGATGAAGCATCGCGATCAAACACTAACATATCAGAGCCTTTTTTGGCCCAGTTTCTCTGCGATTCAACAGGGCCTCAATGCATTTTACTCCTTTTGATGCAATGATCTGAAAGTGTTTTTACATGGTCACATTTATGGCTCTGGCTGCCTGCGTTAGTGCAAGACGACTCCTTTTTAATATTGCTGATTAAAAAATGTAAGTTGCACGGTTGGGGTTTTATTTCAAATGAATACCCATCATTTATCAATTTTATGTTATATGTTACCAAAATTAGGTACATTTCTGCTACTTAAGTAAGAATGGGGGTCTTCATTCAGGATGAACTGCAGTCCACAAAGAGACAAAGAGGAGGTTTTTGTATCCTGCAAACACTTCTCCTTTCTCTCTCCTCTCTCACAGTGAAGGGGAAGCAGCCCCTAAATAATGGAAGTAATCCACTTTCTAGCACCGAAACGCTCTCCTCCCCTCTCTTTAAATCTCTCTCTCCCTCTTTATCAGGACACTCTCCACTCCTTCTCATCATCAAATGCAGGAACAGAGCTCCATGTTTTATTACTTGTGCGACCCCAGAAATGATTAACAACCCGTGTCTGGTGACAATTTATCATGTCAGTGCCAGGCAGAAGGAAGAGACGTTAATGAAATGTCCAATAACAACATGACTACGGCCCAGCGCGGCGACAGCCTGCAGGGTCAGGGCTCCATTCTCCCATCAGCTCGGCTCCAGGTGCTCTCGCGCCGACCTTGGAGACCCTCTGCTCCCCCGTTGCCATGGAAACACCAATGCAACGGGTTCTCTCCTCAAGCTGACTGGAGCAGACAAGAGTTGTAGACACGTAAACAGGGCTGAGGGAGAAAAGTAAATGAAAAGAAAACAAGAGTGCAGGGCTATTTTTGGCTGTGTGCTTTCACTCAAGAGAGAGGGAGGAAGTTCCTAAATTTTGAAGTTGCTTTTTTCACAGGAAGCTCAGCATCCTACATAACAAGCCTGCTGAGGTTCTCATGTCATGTTATGGACATCCACGCTGCTGGCAAGAAGTAGCTGTAATACTGTATCTGTCTCATGCTCAGTTGTGCATGGAAATCGACCTTCTCGAATGAGGGTGGTGGAGGAATGTGTTGTGGCTGCTCAAAGGGCATTTCATGCAGTGTGAGTTTTTCTCATCATGGTTACAATAACAGCACTCAATAGGATATGATGTATGTACATGTAGGCTAATGCTTGAGGTTATTGTGGTGGATGGCTTTATTAGGGAGAGAAATCGCTTCAGACGTTGCAGCTGTCACACTAATCAGTCGACAGCAGCTGTTAAGAATGTCTCATAAGATTAGAGTACTTTCAAGGTATTTTTAGAAATGTTTGTTGGCAGGAGATTGTAAGTAAAAGCATGAATTTAAATAAAGATAATTGTATAAAAAGATTATGAGAGTCCCTCCTTTTTAATTTAATTGTGCCTTCTTTCTTTAGTTGGAGCATCCAGATTTTTGTTTTTGTCTCTTGGTAAACCTTTCAAACCCCCAAAGAACATCTTAATTTGCCTTAACAGCTGGTAATATTGTGTTTAATTAAAAGTTCCTCAACTACTTTTTCACACGTTCGCCATTTTAATGATGCATCTAGCTTGTTTCCCTTTTTCACAGTACACACTTTGACTTGGGTAAACCACTGGTGTAACTAATAATGTTAAAGATGGCTCTGTTGAAGTATCCAGATCTGCCATTATGACAGGGAGCCAGCATGCACAATAACAAGACCCTGAAATTATCATTAATTGTATTATTTACACCTGAGCTTCCCCCACTGTGACATGTTAAAGTATCTTCATTGAAAAAAAAGCCAATTAATGCAGCTTTAATGAGATGAAGTCAGGCTGCTGTGAGGGAACCATACAGTTTGTCATTCTTTTGCCAATGTTTGTTTGTGCAGAATGTGAAATATTTGGAACAGAAGTGGATCGGTAGACCGTGGTGATTGGTGATTGATTTCACTTTGTTCAAAAAACTGGACTGGAACATTCAGTACAAGTCCTTAAGTGGCGGTTTAGGTTAGCAGAAAGTGACTTGTGACTTGATCTAGAAGGTCCAGAGGTTGCTCCATAAGTGGAGGGTTTATGTCCCCGCAATGGCTATTGTCGCCACTCCTTTAGAGATGACAGAGGCGGGACTTGGCTGCACTAGAGGTGTTGCTCCTGGCCTCCTTCCTCTGTTGAAATGTGTTCCAGAAGCAAATCCCCAACTTGTGCTGCGTGTGGTGTGCAGAATCAAGTGTTTCTCTCACATAATCTCTCATCCAGTTCCATGCATACAGTGCTCCTGATCGAAGGCAAATTACAGTAGCTGCACCTCATGGTCGGAATAATGCTGTTTTAAGAGTGACTGATCCACTCTTAGAAAAGAAATGGCCTTCCGGAAACTGCCTCGGACTGAACCAATAAAATAGTTATACTATCATAAGAAATGCATGCGGAAATGTTGGCTTTGCCTGTTGAATGATTCATTTTGAACATTGTGTGAGGCCATTCGGTCATGGTTATTCCAAAACAAAGACGGAGTTTTTATCCAAAGCTTTCTTTTGAATATGTTACAAAATGAAAAACCTTCAGTTTTTCTCCTGTAAAAAATAAGGTTGAAACTCATTGCGATGTCCTTGTTCAATCTGTGAAATAACTGCGTATTTGTCATTGTGAGTCTTAGAGAGTGCGTACATGAAGGCAGTGATTCGTCCGTACAGTTGTAATGGACAGCAAAATTAGCTATTGAGCTTTGTACCAGGCTGTAGACATATTTAATTCTGCTGTAACGTTGTGCATTTTAATATGGGATCTTATGGAGATCGACTCACTTTTGGAGCCAGCCACGAGTGGCCATTTGAGGAACTTCTGTTGGCTTCATTTTTCAGCCACAGAGGTTGGTATGCAGAAAAAAGCCCCAAGGTTTAGCTAAATATGTGTCCAGGAGCCCACATGCATGGGTAAATTCATTTTCAATGAATCATCATTGTCATTGAACAACTCAGTTGCTTTTAGCCGTGGAGCTCCCTTCACTGGTGGTTGAGAGCACCAGCCAGCTGTAATGCACAGTATATGCCTGTTAAAAGACCATGAAAGCCACAGAAACAATAATAATCTGATAACTCTATGATTAATAACAGGCTGCTGAGCTATTAACCTCATGTCCAGTGCTTCATTTAGTGCTGAACTGTTTGTTACAACTTGAACTAGCAACAGACTGAACG